ATGGTGAAAGCAAGCCTAAATGAGGAAGGCATTCCCAACAAGCAAGAAGACTCCCTAAATGAGGAAGGCATTCCCAACGAGCAAGAAGACTTCCAAGTTAGTCAAGAAGACGGTTTAAACATCATCAACAGTCCTCACATCAAAAGCATAACTTATACACATGGATGGCCAATGATTCATGCTAGCAAAAGAGTTTCCTTATTTAGCATTACACTACTTAAGTGAAAATGCTTCTAAACCACCTAAACCGAGGTAAGTCCGAGTTCTTATTTTAATATGGTTTATTCAACTAATAAAACTCTTTCTTTGGTTGTTTTGATTCAGCTTTTATTTCATTTAAACATTAGTATAAGGCATGTTGGCCACATTTTATTTACATTTTCATTCTAAGGCATTGTTAGCCGATTTGTTTAACCTAAGGGTTTGTATTTGCTTCAAATCCCCTAGAAGGGCAAAGCTGTTCGGACTGTTTATAAAGTCTCCTCACAGCCGTGTATCTTTTCATCATATCAATAAAGAACGAACTTCTTGGATAAGTACCAATCTCTTGTTCTCTAAAGCTTTGTGCGATTCATTGCTTGAAGAGTTCTTTGTCTTATCAAGGTTTTCCCTTCATAGAACCTTGTGGCGACTATCAATCCATTGCTCTTTCCATCTCACGCTCTTAGATCTTGCAAATAGAGTTGTACGGCTCTTTGCTTGGTCCCCATCTCGATCCACTTCCTTCCATAGCCCATCCATTGATTGCAAGCCGAAAGAGTTGAACAACCAGTGGCCCAATCCCATCACCATACGCGGTTACTAGCTTGTAGGCGTGTGTCATCTGGTATCAGAGCCGCAAGGCTCCATAAACAGGTGTACTCTATCCCTTTTGCATCTCTTTCCCTAGTTTTCATTAGTTCATTTATTCAACTAATAAAACTCTTTCTTTGGTTGTTTTGATTCAGCTTTTATTTCATTTCAACATTAGTATAGGGAATGTTGGCCACATTTCTAAGGCATTGTTAGCCGATTTGTTTAACCTAAGGGTTTGTATTTGCTTCAAGTCCCCTAGAAGGGCAAAACTGTTTGGACTGTTTATAAAGTCCCCTCACAGCCGTGTATCTTTTCATCATATCAATAAAGAACGAACTTCTTGGCTAAGTAACAATCTCTTATTCTCTAAAGCTTTGTGCGATTCATTACTTGAAGAGTTCTTTGTCTTATCAAGGTTTTCCCTTCATAGAACCTTGTGGCGACTATCAATCCATTGCTCTTTCCATCTCACGCTCTTAGATCTTGTAAATAGAGTTGTACGGCTCTTTGCTTGGTCCCCATCTCGATCCACTTCCTTCCATAGCCCATCCATTAATTGCAAGCCGAAAGAGTTGAATAACCAGCGGCCCAATTCCATCACCATACGCGGTTACTAACTTGTAGGCGTGTGTCAATATATATCTTCCATCTACCTCTGGCTCTTTCTCTCTCTCTCTCTCTTCCATTTATCTCTCTCACCCTCTCCCTCTCTCTCCCTATTGTTCTTGATCAGTCTCCATTCTTTAATCAGTAAATCTGGCGCTATGATAACTCGTCATTCCCTTGTTACTTTTGGTCTCAGCAATTTTGATTTTTAGATTATTCATTCCTTTGTATCAGAACAAAAACAATAACTTGATATTCTGTTTGCTGTAGATCTATTTAGTTATATTTCTTTTGCTCTTCTTTAAATGGTGTAACAAACTTACAATCACCTAATTTCCAATTCTAGCTTAACTTTCCTCTTTGCGGGTAAATGATTAGTATAATAATTTAAAATGATTATCTTTTTAATATAGTTAGTCACCATAATCTATAATTCATATAGCTAAGGATGATACAATTTTAAGTTAGTCGAGCATGTAAATATATATCTATTTAATCATGTTATTCTCTGGAAACTTTTTCAGTAGAAAATTCATTGTGGCACACGCTGTATGCAAATACATGATCAACAAACATAGCTCAGTTCTAAAAGAACTGAGAAGAGGAGAAGAAATACGCTAAGTTTAAAGAGAAATGTGTTACGTTTAAGTCACCGTAAAGAAATTCAAGAGATGAGAAATGGCCATTAGCAATTAAGTCAATAAATTCAGATATATGATTATAAACAATGCTTGTATTACATGGCTACTCCTTTCTGTAAATAAAGGTAGTTTCCCACATAGTACACAAGTATTTGCATGCTCCACCTAGAATGAGGAGCATAAATATCATCAAAAAAACCGTTATGATAGATATAAATATACTGATGTTAGAATACTAGAGATCAAAACTCTAGGTATGATATAAATAAGCTGAACCCTCATCGAAATTCTATGTATGATATCTAAACAATTTAGAACTTCGATTAAGGTTTACCGGTTCTCAGGCAAGGAGAAAGAATTTAGGAAGATGACCAGACCTCCTTTACAATAAGAGAAAACTAAATAATTAAAGAATCTAATGGAAAGGACAATGTAAACAAAGGGAACCTAAAGTAGAATAAAAAGCCAACCTGAAAGCAGAGTAGTCTCGAGCTTGTTTAGTGAGTCCACCTGAAAAGAATTCTTAAACCAAAATAGAGAATCTAAGGATATACTACACTAATCACCTTGTTAGTGATTTTGACCCCTTTCCGCTTGTTTGAAGAGCTTCTCTTTAATAATCTAAAAGGAACAAAAAAAACAAAAAAATATAATGGTTTTTAGAGGTTTAGGCTTTTATCTAAGAGGTGTATTTATAGGTTTTTAAGAGAAGAGAACACGGGAAAAACAAAAGCCTAATCACCTTCTTATGCATTCAGAACTACAGCAATTGTTTGTTCGAAGATCTTCTCTTTAATGATTAAAACAAAAAACAAAAAAACGTAATCACAAGCCTATATTCAGAAACACAAAAATCAAAATTCAGAAACAGCAGCAAAATAAAAACACTAAGCCGTAAACGAAGATGGAAAGAATAACCTAGGCATGCATTAGTCTTTATACAATACACGATTTAGGGTTCCGATTAAAACTGAGTAATTTTTTATGGACCCTATCATAAAGCATGTCTGTGTATCTGAAAAAAACATCAAACAAAGCACAAACGATTAATAAAAACGAATGATTATAATTAAATTTATCTGACCACACGGTTTAATTCATTCAGTATCGCACAGTTTAATTCAATTAATAATTTTATTAAGGGTAAATCAAATAAATTTACATAAGGAACAAAAAGTAATCAACCATCATAACTCTCGATCATAGCTCAACTTATTTATCAATCAATAAAATGATTATTTAATTATATAACTAATTATATTATATTATTTAAATACATACAAATAAATAATTTTGTATCACAAAAAATTTATTTAATAATAAAATTATGTATATTATTAAGTTTTAAAACGTTTTTGTATTTTATATACTTTTTTATTAATTTGAAAAAACAAATTAAAAAAATATTTATAATAAGAAATTAAAATTTTCTAATTATATTTAATTATGTTATTGTATAATAATTAGTCTAATTATTAATATTTTAGTTATTATGATAATAAATAACATATAAAATATATTTTAATAAAAATATATTTTTAAATAATCATATTCCACTATTCCGCCATTCTAATTTTTTCAATTATATTAAAAAATATATTTCACACTTCAGTAACAAATCATTCCATAACCTTTTTTTTTGTTATTCTGTAATTGCACAATAAAAAAATATGTTACTAATTGGAGCTTTTATATTCATACACTAAAGATTTTTCTATCAGCTTTCAAATAAAGTCACAACTCTTGTAAAAATATTTTTTGAGTTGAATAGATTTCACATTCATTCAAAAAAATAAAGTGTATTAATATTTTTAATTGCCTTATTTTTATATTAATTTTGCCAAAGTACTTACTGTAATATTTTCTTGTAAAATATGCCATGCAAAAACTTAACTATCCAAAAAAGTTTATCCAAGGAAAAAAGAAATTTGCAATGGTTACCATTTACACCTAGATTTATGAAAAATCTGGTACCAATCCTAATAGAATGAATATTAGTCTATACTCGTTTTATAAAGTATACTAACAACTGTTTTTGTTCAAATGGCAATAAAGACTTAAAAATGTCTCCAACAACATTTACAATATACAGATTTGCCAATTTAGTACCTTTAACCAAAACAAGAAAAAACAATAATATATCCAAAACTCAACTACCCAGAAAAGTTTACCAAGAAAAAATCAAATTTTGCAATGGTTACCATTTACATTTAGATTCATGAAAATCTAGTACCAATCCCAACAGAATGAATATTAGTATATACTCGTTTTATATAAAGTATACTAACAACTGTTTTTGGTCAAATTGTAATAAAGACTTAAAAATGTTTCCAAAAACATTACAATGAATAGATTTGCAAATTTAGTACCTTTAACCAAAACAAGAAAAAGAAAAAACAAGTATAAATCCAAAACGGGTTCTAGTATTTTATCTAAGATAAAATCTAGTGTTTGGTTGCATTCATTTCTGACAGTAAAAAAGAGAGGAATATAACTGTAAAGTGAGAAAAAGATGGATTTGAGCTATTTAGCAATAGAAGAGAGAAAATAGTCGCCGTTGTTCCAGAAGAATCGCGTGCTGGTGGTGGACTGAGTTTCGTTGAGCCCCTCAAATCGGGAATAATCGCCATGGAAGCTCCGCTACAACACGTGTAAACCCTTCCCTTTCTTCCCCAATTAAGCCTATTTTCTTATTGAGCTTAGTGGAGAGACAGGACAGGAATCACATTCAGAGAAAGTAAAAAAGGTTCCTTTTTTATTCTTTTCATACCGATTCGGACGACGCTAGGTGTTGCTTTCCGGTTAATTCGTGATGGGTTTTGGCGTTTTGAGCTGAGAAACCATTCTGGGTTGTGTTAGTGTTTACGAATCCGGGAGGGAATCAAGAGTGTGTGCGAGGGGGAAGAGAGAGGAAAGTGGTTTTCCGGTAACCGGAGCTGAGATTTCAGGCGAGAAGAAATGAACGGTGAAGGGATCTCTGATGGTTTATCGGCTGAGAGGAAAGTGAAAACCAGCGCAAAGAAGAACGGAAGAAAGGTGATTATGAGTTATAAACCCTAAACTTTAGTTTGATTTTTCTTTCGTTATAAATCTCTCTGGTGTGGATTGTCTTTTTCGTTATTGAAGTGCCAAATTCTAAGTGACTCTCTCTTTTCTCTCTCTCACTCTCAAATTTGATTGTGTGATTCCGTAGTCATGGATAAAGGTGAAATCTTTTGTGCCGTCATGATGATGCTCTCTTGCATGCAATGCTTAGCTTTAGGGAAAGATAGAGATTATATCAAAAGAGAAAAGAGGTCTAGTGAATCATTTTTCCTGTCTTCCTTGTGGATAAAGTTCACACCTTTGATCTACTTTGATCTAAGTTTTGTTATGAAGCTACAGTTTTTACTCGGTTGGTTGTATTTGTAGTCATGTGGCTTTGAGAGAGATGCTGATAATGTCGTCTTGAGTTTGTAAAGATTAGTATCAGTTTGCCTCTTTTGAAAAGGAAAGCATTAAGCATCTGCTTACTCTGCTGAGATGGTTAGAGTAATATATGTTGAAAATGAGTTTGGTTTGTAAAGTGACCTTTAACACCATCCTCCAAAGTAAACTGTAGATTTTGTGATATAGATGGTTAGAGTAATAAATTTTGTGATTTCAGACTGTACATGGAAAGTTCATTTATCACAGAATATCTGAGAGTTTTCTTTTGTTGTTTATTCATTGTTATTATGTTCTTTACGATCACTATACGGCTCTTAAAAAGAAAAAGCCTTTGTGTTTAAGTGAAACAGGTTATAGTTGAGAAATCTGCAGCTGAAGGCTTACCTGAAGGATGGATCAAGAAGCTTGTAATATCAAACAGATCAGGCCGTAAAAGTAGAAGAGATCCAGTTTGTACCCTCTACTCTCTCTTTCAGCCTTTTGTGTCTTTTGAACATTTTCTCTTAGAATCACTTGCTCAATTCTTGGAAAATCTCTTATGTGATTCTTGGAAATGCCTCTTTTGATTTGCAGTTCTTCATTGACCCTAAAGGTGAGTATATCTTTCAATCCTTCAAAGCCGCATCACGGTATGTTGAAACTGGAGATCTTGGAGTTTATGCACGTAAATTGAAGGAAAGCGATATCGATGATGATGATGATTCCGGAAATGGAAAGAACGTCGTGAGTTATTACTTTCTCCTTTTATTGTTATCGTTACTCAAATGGAAATATCTATAGCTGTGTGGTTTGATTACTTGGTTTTCTAATCTTTTTTTTCGTTCGACTTTAGCTTCATCTGGAGTCTGCAGATGATTTATTGGAAAACGAGAAGAGCATAGATAGTTATGTAAGAAACAGTAAACGGAGAAACTTATCATCTTCTGATGAACATTCTGAGAATTGTAAGTACATATTCTTTAAATGTCAGGGTATGAGCACACCTATGCAGTGAGTAACATCAAATGTCAAACATTTTGATTGTATTTGCAGCTAAAATGAATCCTGACTTGAGCATCGAAGCATCACAAGTTCTTGAAGGTTTAGGGAAGAAAGAAGAGGCGAAGGATACTATCGAAAAGCAGCCCATAGCGAAACGGGTTACTAGGAGCCAAGCTAAAGCAAGTAAGAGCGAGGAAGATGTAGACTTAAAGAGAGAAAAACCATCTTCATCAAATGCAAAATCGAGGAGTGCAAGTTCACAAAGTCCAGAGAAGAAATCTGTTGTGAAGGAGAAAGAGGTACGAGGCTCTACTGAAAAACAGATCACAAGGAGTAAAGCTACAGTGAAGAAGAAAGAGTTAACTGATAATGTAGCTCGAAGAGCATCAAAGCGGTTAGCTGGTATTGAGCTTGAGCCGACGCCTGAGCTGAAAACAAGAACTAAAGCTCAACGAGTAGTGCCTCCTGATAATGTTGAGCAGCCTGTGAGTCTTGCCGCAACCGATGGTTTGAAAAAGACTGATATGCCTCTCACTGAGGAAGTAGCCAAAAGCTATAGTGAACATTCATCTCCAGAACCAAATGGTATTGCTACAAGCAGCAACCATGTGAGTACAGAAATGGAAGTGCAGATAGAAAAGATCAGTAAACCAGTAGCTAGAAACGGCTCTGGAGACAAGAAGAAGATGAAGGCGCCACTGGTGATATCCGAGTTTGAACTGAACCCAGTTTTTCATCTTGACGGTTACAGGGAGAAGGAGGAGATGTCTCCGGTGTCACCATTGTCTCGCCAAGCTTCTACAACGAAGCGTGAGAAGACACCAGCAGGCAAAAGATTAGGTCGGTCGAGTCCAAAGACCAGTAAAGTCACCAGTCCGAAAGCAGCTGCGATCTCGCCTCTGAGATCATCACATAAAGGAAACAAACCAAGCAACGACTCATTTCAATCCTCTGTTGTTAAAGGCACATACTCGGGAGGAGTGATGGAGAACAATACCACCAACAACAGCTTCTCCTTCTCCTCCTCTTCAGCATTTGACTCGACTCTTGCTGATCTTTGGAAAGATCCTTGCATCGCCTTTGCTATCAAAACACTGACCGGAGAATCAATCTCCTCTGATCCGAATAACAACAATCATCACGCCGAGCAGAAAGGAGCCGCCTTTTTCCCAGAGACTCCAGAAAAACCGGGACTTTCTAGTGAATCATTGTGCATGGAAGATATCTGGAATGACCCGTGTATCGACTTTGCTATCAAAACCTTAACTGGGGCAATCCCGATCGGGTTAGATGAACCGGCTGTAAAACCGAAATCCGAGGGGACATCAGCGAGGCAAGAACCAGAAGGTAGGCAAAACAGCAGCAACTTGTTGGTTCAACAGTGTAGTAACATGAAGAAAAAGAAGACTGGAGAAATCTGAGGATCTAAGGTTTTTACACAATCTTCCTCCAAGGACTAGTTGTTTTTCTTTTCTCTTAGGGGCATTTTGATAACACCATGGGTTATATGACTTATAATGCAAGAATCCATGTGTCAGGCGATGTTCTGTAAATACATATGTATTAGTTTGTGTATCGAACAGAACCTGGAAAACTCTTAAACTCTTAACCCAACTCTTGATCTTGGTTTTTGTCTTGTTAAAGTTTTTGACTTTTATGAATTTGATGGTGACGTCATCTCACTCGAAAAAAAAGCCCGCGAAAGAACTCGGTGTTTTCCGCCAAAACTTATTTATAATTTACATATATATATTAAAAAATATTGTATCGAAGAAGAAGGAGAAGGAGAAAGAGATGGAGATTCGAGTGAAGTGTGGATGCGGAGAAGAAGAGTGTAGCGAGTGGACGATCGTTGAAATCCAAGGAGTCGTCGAGACTCAGTCTTCGTTCGAAGGATCTATTCAGAATCTCGAGATCGGTCGTCTCTGCCGCTCCGATTCCTCCCAGGTTTTTGATTTTTAAATTCCAATTCGCCTTCTTTTTCCTCTAATCTGGAAACTGTGATGGCCGGAGATTGATGATCGCGTTTCGATGATTGCAGGAAACGTACACGTTCACTGTGGGTTACCATGAACTCACAGGCTCGAAGGTGACTCTGAAGAAGCCACTACTGGTTTTGAAGAAGGTTCAAAAGTGTACGGATGATTTGGTAGGGAAAGAAACTGAACTTGAAGCCATTGGGATTATACGAACAAAGATCTTGTTTAAGACCAGACCTAAGCCTCTCATTTCCGGTACATATGCACTCTCTTATGTTCTTGATTGCTTTCTGAAACTTTGGTCTGATAAGTCTGAATTACTTCTTCTTTGTTTCAGGAACAAATTAGGCTGCAAAAGAGTGAAACTCTCAATGGCTTCTTAACTTCTTTGTTTCCCGTCTTTGTAAGCTACAGAAAAGAGAAACTTATGAAGTTCTCAGTTCTTTCTTTCCAAACTCGATAAAAAGTTGATTACATCATTGTTTTGCAGTAACTAATTAGATGCAATCATGACTTCAAAATCTCAATTGGATCATAACATTAGTAAAGGATTTATAAAAAAAAAAGGCAATAAATAAGGAGACTACTAGTCCTACTCATCATGAGATTTGATGATGCAAAACCCAAAAAAACAATGCAAGATTCTGGTCTGTTCTTATCTACAAATGTCTCCCCAAGAGGAAAACAGATGGTTTTTGAGAATTTGAGTTTGCGAGTCTAGGAAGTTGGCACAGGAACATAACCTGCACGAGCTCTTAACGTTTCGGTTCTTTTGCTTCTTTCCATCACACCCACCAACCATTCTATACTTCCTTTGATTCCTCGTCTGCTCAACAAAAGCATTTGAAAACTTCTCTGATTTTAAGTTTTACAAGATTCCTGTGTGTAGCTAAAGTTAGATTTTTTCACTTACCCATCATATCCAGAAACTGCTTCAAACATGTACACCCTTTCGTCCAGTTTTTTTAGATCCAAGTACCTGTCAAGTTCCTCAGCCGATACAGCACTTGGAAGATCCTGCTCACCGGTTTACCACGTAATTATCAGCAACAACATATCTTTATCGGATTTTAAGCTAACAAGATGAGCCAATGCAGTTTCCTTACTTGTTTGTTTGCCAATATCAAAAGAGGCGCTCCTTGCAAATCCTCATGCCGCAGGGCTTTTTCTGGAGGAAGGAAATTTATATTTTTGGCTTTAGCCTTTATAATGCTGTTTGGAGTCAACTTGAGTGTACAGACTTACCTAGAGCAGATTTTGAATCTTCGAAGCGAGATGGGCAAGCTGCGTCGATCAAATATATCAATGCATGTGCTTCTTCATAATACTTCTCCCAAATCGAACGCAAACCAGGCTGCCATAAGGGAGAAAAAGGCAAAGTTGTTTGATTAGAAAGACTTTTGCTTTTTCTAGGTCCTCTTCAAGAGATCCCTTCCACTCTTATAACTATATGCTCTATCGGAATTCAAGTGATTATGAGCTCTCTCTTGGTTAATCTAATCCCATAGGAGGCAACAACAATATAATAGACACGGACCTGAACATGTGGGCTCTTTGATATAGACCACATGCTCAAGTTGATTACCATTTGATAAACCATGTGAGCTATAGTGGTAAGAGGGTAAAGCTAGTGTTCTCAGTGTCAGTGAAACTGTGAAAGAGCAGTATGGAGTAGCAGGAGGAACCACAGTTATGTTCATGTCTGTGATTCTCTTGTGACTCCACCATTGAACAATGTTTTTAACTAATCTTGACTTTGATCAGAAAGACTTAATGCCTTTTCACAATCAGAATTTGTAAACAAAAAAACAAACGACAGTTTTCAACAGGAAGAAACGATCTATATCGCAACGAAAGGCTCAAAACTTTCCAAAAGAAGAGTGTTGTAAATTTAGGGAGGGGAAGAGATCAAAACTTACTTGACCTCCCAAGTCCCAGAACACAATTTTAGCATTAGAGATTTCAATGCGACCGATATTTAGGCCAACAGTAGGCACGATTCGATCATGTGGAAGACCTTCTGAGATAGAATATATCGTCTTCAACTTCTCCAAAAACGTCTATACACAAATCCAAACATGAGGAGTATATAACATCAGAGATGAATCTTCAATATTCTTGAAATTTTGTAATAACAGAAATTTAACAGAAGATAAAATAAAACACAGTACCGTCTTCCCAGCTTTGTCGATACCAAGGATGAGCACATGAAACTCAGTCTTGCTGAACATGTAACTCCACAGTCCTTGCATAAGAGAAAACATCACTTCCTCCTCTGCTTCGGGCTCGTGTTTAATTTACTTTGATCTTCACCTTCGTTTTCACAAAAAACAAGACAAAGAGTGGAGCTTATCATCAGCATCATAACTTAGCTCTCTTATCATAATCTCAGTAAGCATAACGAAAAAAAATCACAAGACTCCATTTTGAAAGACATTCTCGGGTCTAAATTCGAAGTTTCAGAGAACCCACAATGCAATATCATATCTCCACAGTATTGTTCATAAACCCAATAGCAAGCGACACCAAAATACCAAAACCACATACACAATTCGAAAAGGGTTAGATCACACTCCAATTTCAAACGTCATAGCAACCAAACAAACTAGATCTCAGAATGTCTAGAAGATCAAAGATGAAACCTTTAATCACTATCATCCATTCGCATTTTTTTCACAACACGAAGAAGATCAAATTAGCCTCAGTGAGGGAAGAACTAGATCAATACAAGCTCTCGAAAACGATGAAATCAGCAAAACAGATTATTTTTTCCGACGAATCGAGAAACAAGAAGAGATGATTCAAAAAAAAAATCCTTACAGTTCTGAAGATCTCGAGAAGGACAAAGAAAGATCGAAACTAAATCCTTCTCTCGTCTTTGCACTCAACTCTGGTCTTCGATTCGATCGTCGTCCCGTCCTCCTCAAAAAAACAAAACTTCTACAAGCCAAATTCCAAAACTACCCTTACTCAGTCTTCACGCGTTCGATCACGCCACGTGTCAATGCATAATCGAATGGGGTTTGTAAGGATCACACGCGGCGAAATCTGAATGCTTTTATAGTCAAAGTCAAACATACGGGCGGCTTCTATTGCATCGTGTCTTCGTACAACTTCTTCGTTACGGTGAGAGGGATAAATTCGAGATTCCCATAGTCCCAGTTACAGCGAAGGAAAACAACAGTTTCTGAAAAGTTGCGATCGAGAGAAAAAAGTTGCTGGAGATTAAAGATGACCGATCCAAAGAGGTGAGCAAATTTATTGTTTTCGTCTTAGTTTAAATTTCGTGATGCTCGATGGATGGATTCGCAGTCTAGCTCTCGTTGATTTTTGAATTCGGTGTTTATCTCTCGTTGATTTTGAATTCGGTCTCTGTAGAACCAAATATCTAAGCTAGGGTTTCAATTCAAACAATGTTTCTCGGGATATGTTCTCGTTGTGGTTTCATGGAGTTCGGAATTGCTGAATATGGCCGGATGATTTAGGAACGTGATAAGCTTGTAAGACCAATCATTTTGATTGAAAGCACTAGCTCAGTTAAATCTGATAGTTTAAGTGATGTTTGCTTGTAGTTTTTCAGATAGTGTATGGCAGAATGATCCTGACAGAGATTCTGGTTACTTCTTGATTTGTTTATCAGGTTTACTGGTTTTTGGTTTTGGATGATTTGATGACTGCTTCTTTGTTCTCATTCTTATTCGTTCGCCATGTTCAGAGGATGTTGTAGATTACGCTTGATAATCTCTTTTGTGATCCGAGGTCCTGTGTTTAGTGGTGTGAACTGCTTCATTGTCTTTTGAAGGTTTATGATTTGAGTTGTCCCTTATATCTTTGTGTATATATTCTTTGGAAAGTTAGCAGATTGGATTGTGTTTTGCTGGATTAGCCGGAAATAGAATACAAGCAGCTGAACATGAAGTATGTTTCTCCTTCTCGGAATTTTTATTTGGCTTGCGGTCTATAAATTCATCTTGGAGTTGAGCATGCTCTTACTGCATCAGAACGGTACCTTGCAAGTGTTTATATAAGCCAGCGAGCTGTGTTAATTCTGTGGAGGGATAAATATTCATAAGATATGAAGTTCTAAGCCTTCTATTTTGGTACTTGACGGAAGCATAAAACAGATATTTCTCTACTAACTTAAAAGGACATGGAGTGATGTCTTATTGCTAGTGTTCATGGATTTTCATGTTCCAGCAGAATTCTTAGCTGTGAGATTCTGGGAACTATATTGTCTTTAGTTGACTTTATTTGTAAAGAGAGATGGCCTTTTGTATAATGTAGTTTAGTTTCTCATGTGATTGTTTCTATATCAAGCTGCTGCAAATTAGTCTCTCTTGTGCAACATTAAAGATGTTCATTTTTTGTGGCAGGGGGCGTGTACAATGGGACGAAGCTAATATAGTGGAAATTGAATCTAACAAACCTGTAAGGCAGAAGATTACTGAACCAAAGACACCGTACCACCCGATGATTGATGATGATGGTTTGTCTATTTCTCTTTATTTGGTTTTTTGTTTGTGTATGCACAGAAGTTATGATACACATTATTTGAGCATACGTATATGACATTTTTCCATATATTGTTGATACATACTTGTCACCATCTAAGATTATATGCGTTTAAAAGTTGTGTTCATCTAGAAAGTTGAACAAATACTACTCTTTTCGGGTAAAAAATTTGTACCTGCTATTGGTTGGTTGATTTGAAAATCTTTCATTCTAGATTTACGATTAACTTGAGTTAGTTCTGATCTTTTCTAATCCGTGAAAAAAAGAATTTAAATATACCTTTTAACTGATTGAAAATGTACCAGGTTCTCTGTCTCCTAGAGGAACAGCGTTTGACGAATGCGTTGATGATATGCAACGTGCTGAAGAACTGAGGAACGTTCTGAACGATGAAGCAGCTTCTTCCAGTAGAAACACTAGCGTGGGGTCTGATGCTGGCGGCTGGAGCTCGTCTGATGACGAAGCAGATCCAATGGATCAAGATGAAGAAGGTCCTCCTTAAAAAAACAAACAAACATCAACTGTCATGTTTAGGTTCTTTTATTTGATGATCATCTCCATATGTTTCTGTTTTTGTGTAAAAAAAACAGGTCCCGAAGGTAAGAAGAATGCACGTTTCAATGAACACAGAAGAGTACATTACGATGAGTTTCGGAAGGTGAAGGAACTGAGATCATCAGGGTCGTTCTATGAAGAAGAAGAGGAAGAAGATGATGGCGCAAAAGGAAGTAAATCAGATGCAACAACGTCACGACACAGTAAAGGCGTTAGCAAAGAGGTCGATTCAGCAACAACAGTATCAGAGAAGGCATCGACTTGATATGAGCCTCTCTGTTCAATCGAATGTGTACTCTTGTCCAGGTTTTACAGAGATCTCTCTCTCTCTCAATTAACCTGGTTTTACACTAATTTAAATCTTTGAGAGAAGAAAAGAAAAAAAAACAATATTTGAAATTATGTTATTATTGTCTTTTAACTTTAGCATTTTAATGCAGTTGCTTACAATCACTGCTGTTCTTCAATGTTTTCGGCAAAAAAAATTCAGTTCTGGTTGTTGTGTGTCTCGTTTGATCAATTTGGGTATGAATGTGTTGATTTCTTTTTATTAGATTCTGCAGTAATTAAAAGAACAGAGAAAAAAAAAACAAAAAAATGTTTTCTCTATGCGTTGTCGTTTTTGCGCAAGCTTCTATAAATGTGGTTCAAATTGCACGATTGAAGATCATAAACTGTCGAATTTGAAGTGTTAGCATCAATGGCGAGCGAGAAAAGCCAAGAAATGTCAAAATTATCCTCTCAAATCTGTAACCAGATCTCCTCCGTCTTCTCTAACCCAACCGATCCATATCCACCACCGTTAGACCTCCTCGTGACGGAGCTCGCCGGCGTCTCCCGCCGCAGCGCTCGTGTCTTCCTCCACGGCGTTGGCCGCGAAGGCATCATGCTCAAAGCATTCACGATGCGTCTCTTCCACCTCGGTCTCTCCTCTCACTTAGTCTCCGACATGACCACACCTCCAATCTCTTCCTCCGATCTTTTAATCGCCTCAGCCGGTCCCGGAGGATTCTCCACCGTAGATGCGATTTGCTCCGTCGCTAAATCGACCGGCGCTAAGGTTCTCCTACTCACGGCGCAGCCGGAGACAGGGTCGTGTGTGAAACACGCGTCGGCTGTTTGCTATGTCCCTGCGCAGACCATGGCGAATGATGACGGCGGAGATGCGGCGGCGAAGGGAGAGAGACCGTTGTTGCCGATGGGGAGTGTATACGAAGGAGCTTTGTTCGTGTTGTTCGAAATGGTTGTTTACAAATTGGGAGAGGTTTTGGGTGAATCACCTGAGTCCGTACGTTCTCGTCACACCAATCTCGAGTAGCGCGTCGCGTTGTTTTTGGTATTCAGGTTGATAAACGCTTGCTGTTTGTAGTCTGGGTCCTATGACCATGTGCTGTTTCGGAATTACGGTTTAGAAATGCTTGCTGTTTCGTTTTCTTAACACGTGGTGTTTTAGGCTTTTAGCATCCCGTTAGAGAAATGCTTGCTGTTTTAATTTGGCCCAGGCCTCGAAAAGAGGTTCACAGCTAAACCATTTGTAAAAGCCCAACAGATATTTTACCAGTTGAAACTTGAAAAAGCAACAAGTATGTCTACTTTTAGTTTACATCTTCTTCCCCAGAGACTTAGGAACAGAGTAACTAAAAAAAGTAAAGGAAGAGAGAGCAAGAACAATGCTCGAGCTTCTTGGAACGTACAGGAATCTCACACTTCAACTCCTATTATCTCTCTTCTTAATCCTAATCCTCTCATTTCTCAGAATCCCGATCATCTTCCTCTACGGCCTCTGCACTTACATCCAACCGGAGAATCTCGGCCAGAACAACGCCGGGAGTGGGGTCAGAGCCGCGATTCGTCGTCCTTCTACTGTCGACGATCCTAAACCCAACGGTGAAGTCAGGAGGAGAAATAGATCCAAGGATAAATCCGAATTCGACGAGAGCAATGCCCAGATCTTCCGGATTAAGCTCGATGAAGACCACCTCAGATCTCGGATGTATTTCACAGAGTACAATTCCCTCTTCGTTTTATCATTCTTAGCTGCTTCATGCTTCCTTCTTCAAAATTACGTCGGCGTAGAGGATAGCCACGGCGTTCTGGGAAACGGATTGATGTTCCCGCTCGTTCTGGGATTCATCGCGTTGTGTAAGGTCTTCGTCGCTTTAGCTAAGATCTCGATCGAGAGATCCGCTTCGAAGAAATCGGAGAAGAAACTAAGCTTGATTTTTGGGGGTTTAGGGTTTGTCTTCGGGATTATAATCAGTGCTGGTGTATTCCCCAAAGGATTCGATTTCCAATTAGGTTCCGTCGATGCCTTCTGCTGCATACTCATATCTTCCTCGATGGCTTGCATCGCTGGGTTCCTTTACATGCCTGCAGGGAGAAGCGCGAGGTCGTTTTGGGTTGGAACTGATCAGATTAGGAGTAACTTGTCGATCATTTCTTGTGGATGGTTCGGTAGAATGATCCTCTATGCGAATTACATCGTTTCTGTTTTCACTTGCTTGCTTTGGATCCATCCATTAGCAGAGATTCTAGTGAAGAGAAGTAGTAGTAGTAGTAGCCACACTGGTTTGGTTGGTAATGTAGGCATGTCGAGTACTGATTTCGGAAAGTTTCGGGTTCTGTGCTTGTTGTTGTCTGGTTTGCTACAAGCTATGGCGGTTCGTCCAAACTTACAGATGTTTTTGAACGAAGCTGTGCTCTCGTGGTACCAGAGGTTACATGGGAGCAAAACTCCTGATCTTGAGTTTAGCAGGGCGAAGATGTTTCTTCATAACCACTACTTATGCCTCGTCGCTTTGCAGTTCTTGGCGCCATCTGTGCTTGTGATACTCTTCCTCGGGTTGTCTCAGATTGATCTGAGCTCTTTCGCTGTGTCTCGACTGGTATGTGGCTCTTTGCCTTGCAGCGATTTCGTTACACAAGTGGGTTTGTTGATGTCTTGGTGGGTTGTTTTCGTTTGGTCTTGTTTTGCTTCTGCAAGTCTTGTCTTTTATCGTCGTGGTGTCTTGTATGTTTCTTGAGAAGTCTCAAAGTTTTGCAAAAATGTAGACTTTTCGTTTCATTTGTTATACGAATTTTCTTGATCTTTATATTGTCTCCTACAATCTCATCAAAAACTTTCAAAAAGGAGAAACAAGAACAGGTCTTTTAGAGATTTAGCTTAAGCAGGTATATGAAGAGCGGCTCTGATCTTGTGAATGGTGCAAGCGATGAGGTTGTTAACAGTTTGAACAGATTCAACGTTGAGTTTTGCAGTCGATGCGCTGGTCACTAAGATCTGAAATCCTACGGTCAAGAGACATCCTCTGCTTTCGTGATTCACCAAACCTCCATTGGTACTGATCTCATCAGACCATGATGATGATGATGATGATGATCCATCAGGCGATATCGAGAACCCCGATGGAAGAAGCGCCACGTTAGCTGAATCTCCACCGCTCATTACAACGTTCATAGATGGAACATCGACAGGTGCGTAAACCACAAGCGCACCAGAAGCATCATTCCATGTCTCTTGCAGGATTAGCATACTCCTCTCATTTTGATCCTTCCCCTGCAAATTTGGAATTGGTGTAATCAGTAATCAAGAACAGAGATTTATTCGCAAGAATAGGTTATAAACTCACAGCAGGACGAAGAAGAGAGACACATCTTCCTTCTTGTTGCCCTTTTGGGATGAGAAGCATGGTTTCCATTGAAGCACCATTAGACAAAATATCCCACTGGTTTCTGCATTTACAATCACATAGAAACTCAAAGAGTCTCTGCTGATTCACCGGTAGCCACAGAGACGTTGCAGCGCTCAGGACAATACCAGACGGCTCGAGGCTCTTACGGGTCAGTATCCTCGTGTCTTGTCCTAAGTTCTCAGCGAGAAGCTTCTCCCATTTGTGAATGGGCGAAGCAGTTATGCCTGAGTAGAAGTTTCGCTTCATACGCTGTGCGAGTGTTAGTGTACTCTTGGTGCCAGCAAGTGACAACCCTATTAAAAAAAAACATCAAAGAAAACAATTTTTTTTCTTGAATCAATCCTCAAAAACGTTTCAAGATTCAGAAAGCAGAGAGAGATCAGACCTGTGTGAACTTGAGAAGACAACAGGGTCATGTAGCTTTCGCATCGTCTTTGCAGAGTCGCAAGCCACTTGGTTGCACCTAACCCGAGAGAGGAACTGAGCAACGGTTGATAAAGTGAGTGGATCTGATTCTCTTCAAACTCTGAATGTTCTATCCACGTCACCTGTTGAAAGTTTCTCTGTGTTAAACCAAATGTAGTAACTAGTAACACAGTAACACATTTTCCTAAGAAATGTAACTTAGCAGATTCACTTAGTTCAACCAAGTTTTTAAGTAAACAAAACAAGATATTTTGTATAAATAATATATAGCAGAGAACTAGCCCAGACAAGAAGCAAGCTTTGCCTTGAAAAATGAAGCCTTTGATTTGAGTTTAATATATTTATAAGAACAATAAAAAAAGAAGAATCTTTTTGAGTTTTATGATAAGATATACAGAAATCTTCAGGTTCTCAGGCTAACTGTCGACTTATTTGTTATATTACTAACCAAACTTCTTTGCTATAAACTATTCAACAAAACCTCACGCAGATCCAAGACACAACTAATTTTCAAACTTAAAAAAAAAAAAAGAAAAATGTTCAAAAGAAGAAAGAGTAAAATCGAGAAGTTACCTTGGAGCAACCATTGCCTATGTCCTGTATAATGCAGCCTGAAGGAAACCTCTTAAAGCCACCATAAGTCTTCAAGTTCTCATCTTCTCTGTTTACATTGCAAGAAACATCAACAATCGCCCATAAACCATCTCCATGTTGCTTACAATATCTAAGAAACTTGATTTTTCTGTTTGGAACTAATGGAGACATCACTTGAAACTCTGCTTGCATCTGTTTCCCAAACAAAAGAAGAAACCATGAATCACCAAAATGTAGTCAAAAATATAAACTTTATGGTTCTTGATGAAACATACCAATTGAATAGAGCCGTTTCTTGATCCAGCACTACCATTAGATATCACTTCAACAGTTGATGCAACAGCTACAATACACTCAAACATTTCTTCCCATCGGTTCTGTAACATAAAAGAGATGTTTATTAGTAAGTGTGTGTGTGTATGTATAACTATGTGTATATGCATTCAAGATTCAAGATTCTCATACCGTGTCCATAAGAGTCTCCACTAGAGCCAAACTATTGATGAGAACTAAACCAGTTTCTCTTGAACCTTCAGCTACAAAACCCGATTCTTTACTACCAGCGAAAACTCTTCTATACTCGTCATGGTTCAACGAATCTTTCTCACTCTTTGAGCATCTTATCCATAAAGGATCCTCCAGTTCCGCTAACTTAATCAACTCATCCATAGCTTCCATGGCAAGATCCATAAACATGGAGCTCTCACAAGTCAAAGTACCTCTGATGAAACCATGTCCTACAGGCAAATGACGTGAGCGAATCTCACCGTTTGAAGGCTGCTCGAGTGAGATGGAACCGCCAATGAATCTGTTTGCTAAAGAACAAAGCTTATCGAACTCGTGCTTAAGCTTAACGTTCTCAATTCTAAGCTGCTGCTGCTCATATGAAACCACACCAGGTGTAGCTGCTCCACCACAGTTGTTGCATATAGGACTTCTCATTGATTCTTTAAGGATACCGTTTTCAACACGCAGCTTTTCATTGTCTTGTTTGAGAATCGCGTTCTCATGCCGCTCTAGTTGCGTCTGGTTAAGACAAAAAATCATAACTTTTCAACAAAAATCAAAAGCTTTTTTTTGTTTTTTCATAATAATCACAGTATTCGATAAGTACCTTCATTTGTGTTCTTCTGTTCTGAAACCAAAACTTGATTTGCCTACTCTCCAAAGCAAGTTTGCTTCCAAGTTCAAGCCTTTGTTTCTCATTAGGATGAGGACAAGCTTTGAAGAAACTAAACTCAAGAATAAGCAAACAAAACACAAAAACTTTTGGATCAATATACAACCGAAAACATTTGATGAATATTGAAAACAGAGAACTCCTTACGATTCGAGCTCTTGAATCTGGTGAGAAGTGTGTCTATGGTACTTTGTCTTCTTCTTCTTCTTCTTAGGGCGTTGTTCTTGTTTATCATCATCACCAGACATTGCATCAAAGCTATCACTCTCAAACTCATCTTCTCTAAACCTCCCTGGGTTCAAATCTCCTCTAGACACATCAAGATCAAGATCGCCATTCATTTTCGCTTTCTGCAGCAAAAAAACAGACAATAATGGAAGTTATAGAGTGAAAAAAAGAACAAGACAGACATTTAAACAAAAAAGACAAAACCACTGTTGGATAAAAGAACATACTGCAAGACTTGACATATTCGTATTGTCACTGATCCTACTATTCAAACCATCGAAACTCATCATCACAGTTGTTTACTTTGCTTTTTACATCAAGTTTCAAAACTTTCAATCATAAATCAGAAGATTTTCTGATGACTAGACAAGAAAGGTTTTGTTTGTCGTAAGAGTGAGATCAGCAAAAGAAAGAGAAAGGTATTTACTTTGTTAGATCATATGACTTGTCCCTTTTTGTACTCAGAACTCTGTTTGTCTCTTTCTCTCTCTTTGGAAAATTTCACTCAGGGTCCCAAAAACTCAGCTTATACCTTTGACCTTCTAATGCAATTTCTTCGAAGTTCGAAGGATGTGAAAAAAAAACAAAAAGGAAGTCCTAATTTTTACTCGGACCAAAAAACAAAAAAGCTTCGATTTTGACCAAATTGGTTTCTTCTTATGTCATTTTCCCTCAAGATTTTGACAAACTAGAAAACAAAGAAAGTTAAAAAACTAAAACGGCAACTTTTTTTTTGTCAAAAAGCCTTGAGCTAAAAGCCTAAAAGATCTAGTTTGACTCTGCACCAATTTAAATTATTCTACTATAGGTTACTGTAACATCAACTATCATTTTTTTTAAAGATCGATAAAAATTGTGTAATGAAAACCAATGAAAGACTTTCTTGAATTGACAGTGAAAATATCAAATGCCAATTTTATTTATTTATTGTTAATCCTTAGTAACATAAAGTATGAAAACATTTTTTTTTAAAAATCGATAAAATTTGTGCAAGACTGTGAAACCAATGAAAGTCTTTCTTGAATTGATTGTGAAAATATCAAATGCCAATTTTTTTTTTATTGTTTTATTTATTATATATGGACAAAGGGAGAGGAGCGCGTGGCCCGAGCTCGTGATGCCCGCCGAGCGGTTCAACCTCCACGCGCTAATATTGTTATTAATGTACACGCGCCGTTCAGGTAGACTGCTAGTGGTAGGGATGTTTTGGTCATTTTAATTCACTGTGTGTTTAGTTTTTTGTTTGTTTTTCTTTTGGAATTTGAAGAAATGCTTGGAGAATATTTGAGATTGCAAAATGCAAATCTTCTATACAATGCTAATGTATTTGATTTTCTTTATATATTTGAGTTTTGAAAAAAAAGAGTTGAATAAAGTCAAAATGGTGTTATACAATTGTAGGGGATGTTTCAAAATAAAAATAAAGTTCGTTTAGTCAATCAAACATGCCTTTGAAAGGAGCCATAAAGATAAAATGTGTTTATAAAAAATTGAAAAATTGGAGTGTTTCAAACTAAACACATTTTCCAAACGCCTTCTCTTAATTAGAAAAGACTTTAACAGAACTGCTTCTCCAAAATGTATCTTGAGTGTTTAATAATCTATACTAAGATTCAAAACATTGTAAAGTTATATATCTTATATAGAAATTTAGTGAAATTTGTAGGATTTTAACAGCACTGCTCTCAATGTGTCACGTTTGATGCCCTAGACCAACTATCTTATGTTTTTTTTTTTTTTTTGTAAATTTACTTTATTGATAATGATACCACCATTTTTTTATGTTATTTGTTGGTTTAAGACCTCCTTGACAAAAAGGCCGACCTGCCCGAAGTCGTGGAGTTCAACCATTCGAATAATTTATAAAATCACTTCAATATTATTCATTTTTTATTCGAGACCAATCGGTTTTACGGCGATTAACAGAAACGAAAAGAAAAAGAAAAACAACAACTCAAACTCCGAGTTTTTATTCTTAGATATCCCACCTCCTTGATCTCCCTCCATGCCTTTTCCTGTTTAAAAAAAAAAATGAAAATCGAGTGTTAGTATAGCTGGTTAGATACATTACTATACATATACAAAGCAATTAATGTTTAAAACGTTATAGTATGCTCTTACATAGATATAAGACCGTACATATAATCAGCTGCATGAAAGAGTAGGGATGTTGCAGCGAGTGGGAAGCCTAGAGGCAATGCGAAGCGTGTTGCAAAGGCATTCGCTTGGCACTGCCTCAAGAGCAGTGCAACACTCGGCACTCGGGTTCGTCTTGTCAGCTCCAGGAACCACATACTCACCACACACATTCAGTCCACTCAAGTGCGTGTTGCAGCTCTGTCCATCTGCCACCGTTGCCACCAAGACCAGAGCCACCATCACCGCCACCTTCATGATCATGGCCAATGAAGGCTTGGAAAAGCTGAACGATGCTGCCATCTTCTTCTTCTTGTTTATCTTTTATGTATTATGAAATGTATATAGAGTGAGATTGTTGTTTGTTAGATTTGTTTACGGGGTTAGGGGTTTACTTATGTTTATATAGAGTCGTGCAGGGTTCGAACGGTATATAGTAAATAGGGTTTAGGTTCATTGTTCGTGAGTTACCTAATGAGAGAGATCACGTTAAGCTGCACTTTTGTGTGTGCGAGGCAATGTAGAATATGCATGCTTTTGATTCCTGAATGTTTTATAATATATTAATTGATGATGTACATTACATAGATATACTCATATACATGGACTAATAATGTGATTTATAAACCAGGGTGACGAGTGACTAGCTAGAGCTAATATTTTTGCCAGAGAGAGAAATTATGGAGAACCTGATTTTTGAATTGGCTGTAAAGTGTCCGAATGAATTTAAAGCACAACAGTTTACTAACAACTTAAAAAAATTAAAAAAAAAAATACAAAGCAAAAATTATTAGAAAAGTAATACCCCCTCCCCTACTTTCATAAAAAATATCATTTTGACAAATTTCACACAAATTACAAAAATTATTAAAAATTATATTTTACTCATTGTTCACACACAAAATAACATTTTTTCTCTAATTAAAACATTAAATAAATAAAGTCAAAACTTAACTTCTGTTTTAAATTTTGCATTAAAAATATAGAATGACATTTTTGTGAAACAAAAATTAAACCTTATAATGACATTTTTTTTAAAGTGAGGGAATCAACACAACAATAACACTTGTCTCTCAATGGCTTGACACCTCAGCTTTTTCAAGTTACCAAAAATTGACACATCAGCAAAATCAACAACCAATCAAATTTTTTTAATTAATACACATTATCTACTAATTTTTATTATTTTTAAACCCATTAAAAACCTAAATATTTTTTGTTAATCTTTATTTTATTTTTTTGCCAAACCCAAGCCCAAATAATATATAACATCATATAAAAAATTATATCTTTATTTTACTTTTTTCCAAACCCAAACCTAAATAATAAATAACAACAAATAAAAAAAACTTTATTTAATTTTTTTGCCAAACCCAAACCCAAATAATAAACAACAACAAATAAAAAGTTAAAATTTCGTGGACATGGAGCTGAAAGGTGTGCTAGTGAAGATGGTAGCTAAGTTAGTACCTAAGCATCTGAGGAAGCAATGTTTTTGGCTCTGTTTGTAATTTTCTCAAAAAACTCTAAGTGTAGTATGAACACATCACCACTAATTGTATCTTTCTATCTTTCACGATATCCAAAAGTCTTATATATACCCTTTGTTTGTTGTATGAGTAAAAAAAAAGAGATGGTTTATAATGTAATAGCCATCAAAGTATTTTTAAGTAAGAGCTTTGTATTTGTACTTTTGGATCTTTCTTTCCTCAATCTATAGTAGTAATATCCGTTAAATCATAAAAGCATTGCTCACCGTATAAAATTCCTTAAAAATCTAAACCGAACTAAGCTGAAAAATAAACCTACGAGAATGATAATAAAAATAAGTGTGGTCCTTTTTTAACGAAACTAAGTTTTGGATTGGGCTCGTGTGAGGCTTTTGTGTAGTCGCCGTTGTGGATCTTTGAAGTGTTTCTATATTGTTTTTAGACTTTGGTATCTCTCCAGACCCAATTTAGAATTTCATTGGAAGAGTTAAAAACCCAATAACACACAAAAAATTAATTAATTATTGTTATCAATTTTTTTATTAAACTATTAACCGGTTATTATTCATAAGCCTTTGTAAGGCAAACACACACATGGGTTTTTCAAGTGGAAACCAATTTATAGTGCCTTAGTTGAGGTTTCTATTAGAATTAGTTCGCTAGGTTGATTACTGTTAAAAATAACGTAAGAATCATTGAAATATTTAAAATTAATAATGCAGTAAAGAACTCTATTGAAGAAGACACTTGCCTAATTAACAGAGTCTCAAGAGACTAAAAGATGCATAGTCGTCACAAGATATGTCGAGATGCATAATCTCACTAGATCTTTTCCTCTAATTGTGTCACTTGACAAATTCATGTTACTTATAGTTTCAGAATTTCCAATTGACTCTTTCACTTCGGATGTTGGAAAATGACCATTGTTTCGTATAATAATGATGGAGAAATGGTTTTGATTGAAGAAAGTGGTCTTTTTTGTATAAAAGAAAGAGATATCAAGTTACTAAAAAAGAGAAGTTTTAGCATTTTATAGTTGGCATCTTTTTTTTTTTCAGATTCAATATTTTAAATTTATACTATCAATATCGACAGTCTTTGATGATATAAGTTTAGTATGTGTAAGATCAATATTTTATATTATACGATTGAAATAACATATCAGCTCTCAAATGAGACACAGTAATGATAAATTCTAAGCTGATAACATTTAAATGTAAGAACTATAAAAATATGTCCATTCTAAATTATGTAAACTCAACTCCACCGGCTTGGCTTACTGAGCCGTTCTAGGACGAAGAGGCTATTGACAAAAAAAGAACTATAAAAAAATATGTCAAACATTTATGAACATGTCTTAAATGAAAAGTGGTTATTTCTGTTTGTTATAAAACAGATTGACATAATAAAAAAATTTACTAATGAAAAGGATTTTTATAAAATAAATAAAATTTTGTATCAGAGAGTAGTTTTATTGTGAAATTTTACGTTTAAGGTATCTTCTTTTCAAAATGAATATATATGAGAATTAATTTTAATTTTGACGTTTTACATTCACAACTTCAATATGGTTTTACATTATCCAAGTGTCTATTAGTGTTTTAATTCGACCTCAACTCACCATTACAACCATTTATGTCCTTTTAACCATATTTACACACAAAAATTAAATGATGTGGCATAAATTAACGTTAAAATGATTACTATTACACTTCAAAACTCTAAAGTTTGAAACACTATTCTAAATAATATTCCTATGCCTATATGTTCACAAAGTCTCTAATCAAGAAGTGGTAGATCATAAGATACTTTGAACATGTTTTAGAGAAAAATAACTAGATGGGAGAAAATATGAAACTATGATGAAATTAAGTAGGGTGTCATTTGAGTGAATTTTTATATCAATTTAGAGGGATGTCAGTTTAAGTCAATAAGGATAATATCGTAAATTATGCTCTTTGTGGGAGGAGATTCAGTTAGGTGCAGTCTTGCGCTTTGTGGTCACCAATACTCACAACTTGGAAAACTAGGTTCATAATAATTAAAATTAGGAGCGGATTTATGAGTTTATTTAGTTGAGAGCATATAAACTTCTTTAACTATAAGTAATAAATGTGTAACTAATTTTTAATCAGGGATATTTATATATATTTTACACTAATTGGTAAATTAGAAAATTGCACATAATCACGTTCCATCGTATATGTTTCCTTATATCCATCTCTAGTAAAAATTAGATAAATAGTGATTATGACACAAAATGCAACTAAAACAGAATTTCATATATAGATTTGTATATTTCTTAATATATGCATATAATATTTATTTTTAATATATTTTTATTTTATCAAAGTATAGCATTAAATTAATAAAAAGATAATTAAAAAATAATCAGTACCGTAGTGTGGGTATATACCTAGTCTATCTAACATATAATAAACAGGAAGCATTAGTGGCTTATGTGTCATTATCTCAGTATTTAGAATTTTTTAAATCTTAATAATGGTTAAAAACTTAAATATTTTATTCGTGCAACCAAACACAATCTTTCTTGCAACCAAATAAAAACTTCTCTAATTATTTATTTATAATTGCATTTGATGTTTTAAAAATCTGCATATTTAGGTTTTTGGTATATAATTTAAACAATTCAATTTAAATAAAATTGACTTAAAATTTAAGTGAATCGTTGTTTTAAAAAAAGGATCTAACATATATTAAACATGAAGCATTAGCTTAGGTGTCATTATCTCATTTTTTCATATTTTTTATTGATTTATTTTTTTGTGTGCTATCCTTATTACCAAACACTTTATTTTAAATTACTTAAATTAAATCAAATTTAAATCGAACCAATCACAAATAATTTGATAATTTCATTGGTTTAGTAAATTAAATTAGTTACATGTTTTAGTAATAGAAATAAAAATTATTTCCATGTTTTAGATCTAAGAGTATTTATTGTTTTGTAACAGCTTTGATTCATATATTATACAAACAGAAAAAGAATATTATTTTTTGAAACCTCGAACGAAAGTAAATGTTAATCTCGCTTTGTATAAGTTTAAATTAAAAACGAAAATAACTAAATTTTTTCAAATCTCGACTGAACATTTTTAGATACCCACATATTTTTAAAAACTGAATAAATTATAGAATATCTTTTAAATATTTTTACAAACATTACCCCGTACGAACGTGCAGATAGTAACCTAGTTATTATAAATTCTAGACCTCGAAAGTAACTTTAAACCAGGAATTTAGTTGCTAATTTTATGTTGACCAAATCATTTTCATATATTTATCCTATATTTTTCATCATCTTTTCCTCCACTCACTTTTACCGGCCGACGATGATCCCCCGAGAAGAGGAAGTTGAACCTGTTGGTTTCATGCTATTGTATCATTTTAGAAGCCATTGCTTCTTGTACAAGGCATAAATATTTGATAAAGAAAAGTAAAATAGAATTTGGAAGAGAAAAGAAAACAGGATATAAAATCTGGAAAACTTCTCTTATCTCGACAATCTTACATTTACACATCACTAACACTTATATAGTGATCTCAGATAAACAAACGAACACAACGGTTCGTAATCTCACATAACTGTTCCTAATTTTTACGTACCTTTTCGATAAACTACAACTAACACACATCTCTTTATTTTACATAACACTAACTTATATAATTAATATATAAGCAAACTCAATTATAAACTAACACTCTTCCTTACTTGAGTTTCACTCTAACTCAAAGCTTGCGTCATTTTAAACTATGGCTTCATGCCTTCTTTGAACTTGAAAACTTCATTGATGATCCTTTGAAATCTAT